CGTGGATCGTCTCGAAATTGCGCCTCTGAATCTGGTCAATCGGTACGCGTCGTTGGTTTATTGGGCCTTGGACCTCGTTTCTTTTATGGGTAAGCGGGAGATTACATGGTTAAGAGAGGCCTATGGATTCAAGGATATGTCTGGGTTCTAGACAAAGTCTCAAAAGCCTTTTAGGAAAGTCTCATTAGTGGACCGTGTAGACTGAAGGGTTCATTCGAACATTTAGTTGGTCAGATTTCTGTAAATAGGCGGTAATGATCGGTAACGTGAAGGATAAGCATTCTGAAGAGATTTTCTTCTGTTTTCCTTGTTAGTCAGTGAAGGGCACATGGTAACTTTGGTCAGGGGCTAGGAATGAGGAGGCTGGTCTTCCTTCTCCCTTTTCAACTTTTCCGTCGATTTAAGGTAGCTAGCCCTAGTTTTACAGCGAAATCTGCTCTAAGCACACACATCTCATCCGTTAGCTGAACAGTTCGGGCAATGGATGTCAAAGACGTTTTATTGGAAATATACGCTCCTTGAGGTCATGTAAATATCGTCGCATATCATGCGATATCGTTATTGCATCGGACATTTCTTCAAAACGGATTGCTCCGTATATTGTTCCATTCNCATATGCGTTTCCAATGAAGGTTTCCTCAAAAGAATAAGTACTAAATCTGTGAGGGATTGGTTGATTTGTTTATTCTTCAGGAGTATTCCTTTTGAGGAACAGATTTTACGTGCTTTTAATCCCTTTACTTAATGATTAACTTATTTTCATCTCATTAGGCTTCATAGGAACCGGCAGGAGATGTGGGCTGACCTCACATATCCTGGTTTGGCCTGGTGGTGTAAAAAAGTAATAAATCACAAGTCATAAATCAGTCTGTAATGACTATTGGCCGCCAGGAACTAGGCGATGAACAGGTGCCGATCAATATGCATCAAATGTACTCATGCTGGTTTTGATCAACAGTTTTTCTGTGATATCAAGGCGGGTTTTACATTCGAATTGTTTCAGAAATGCCGTCTATAACCTCTCATTGACGACACTAAGCGTTCATCATGTGAGTTATTGATTTTTATTGAATAAGTGCATAGATTATTGATTAGTTGTGAAATCGAGGTATCCGTTGAGTATATTTGTATACGTGCACGGATCTGGTGAAGTATTTGGGTAGGCGAGCGCCGATAATCCTACTGTATACAGATTATTGCCAGACATATGCACTTGTGGTGATTCTCGAATTCCATACAGTAAAGTAAACAAAAAACTTTAAAGGGTCAGGGTACGGTATCTATGCATCCTGCCCACTAAGGCTTATGTATAAGAAAAAATCATGTACATATACATAAATTGGTTAATGGGTAACTTGAACGGGTCCGGAAGGGAAAAGATACAGGCAAGGCTAATGACATGGCGGATTATGAAGAAAAAGGTACGGTAGAAAGGCCCCTCTTTGAATACGGTATCTAGAATGCTAAGATTTCGTCTTCGTCTACCTATAAGGAGAAACATGCCGATCACCAATGCGTTTTCAAAAAATATTAGTAATTACGGTACTGACGCCAACTAATTTGACCGTACTAACCCAATTTGCCGAGATACGGTAGCTCTGCTTAATTTTGGTACATTTTAGAAAATTGATTGGAAGCCACCAGCAGATGTGATAGAGGAATGTCTGATGAAGGGCAAGTTGAAGGTAAGTAGTTTTTTCAGTTTTCCAGGTCATATGATTCTTTGTATTACTATCGCAATTATTTAAAATCATTTCCTCGACACTTTTTCTTCGTCCTAGCTTTCATTCAGCGCCATCCCAGGGTTTTCTCAAACTTGTCATTTTCATTGTGATCTTATTTATACGTTTCGTCTTTTTGTTCTACAATTACAGTAACTTCAAGTGTTTCGCATCAGTTGTAGTTTCCCAGCCGCCTTGTTCCCCTAGTTCCGCTGATGAAAATTGTTTCGGTATAAGGTATTTTGCATGACGCCAATTGATTCTTGGTAGTGTCCTCATTAGATAGACAAGGAGTGCGCGGTTGCGGCGCGGTTTAACAGAGCAACTGGAGAAATAGTTTTTGTCATCAATTAGAGCAAGAATAGAGAGCAACATTAGTTGATTGCAAAAGTTTTTTTTTTTNTTGAATTTTTTAAATTTAATTCATTCTACGTTTCTGCCAACTTTTCAGGGTGCTTGGACAAATTCTTATGTTATCGATTTTTTAGAGCGATTGCCAGAACTATATCCGAGTTCTGGCACGCCAATCATCGGGGAAAGCGTTGATTTGCGGTACACATGCGTTCTCACCAAAATGCAGAGAATACGTGTACTCAAGCACGGACGGTACCCTGAAAAACGTCCGGCAATTTGACGGAATGGTGAGGATAAGTTTTTTCAAAAGTTCCTGGTAAATGCTGCAAAAGCATTTTTCCAGGGCATATCACCGTATGATCCACGTGATAATTCGACTGTCGTATATTTACCGGAGACGAATGAGATCTATACTGGGACCGTATCGGATTTTGTTGGCAATGATCCTTTGATATACCGGAAACGAATCGGCGAAAACGATCGTGATAACGGTATTCGTACACAACGAGACGATGCTCGAGTACTGGACTGTAAGTTTATTTAAAGGACGAGTTTCCATCGATTACGGTACACTGTACTTTGTAGCACCGAATTTTGTTGGCTCGTTTGTATACAAGGAGCATGTCTACTATTGGTATCGAGAACGAGCCGCTGAAGCGATGGATAATAATGAAGAGCGTCAGGTTGGTACTGGCTTGATTTCGATCGACTTCCTGAGTTCGAAGTTTATCCTGATATTTTAAGATCTATGCCCGAGTGGCACGGGTTTGCCGTAATGATAAAGGTGGCGCAAGACCAGCAAACGAGCGGTGGACGTCGTTTGTAAAGGCTCGACTGAACTGCTCACTTCCTTCGGCGACGCCATTTTACTTCAACGAACTCAGTGAGTTTACTTGCCCTCATCTTCTAGGCTGGTGATCCAGATGGCTGGAAGTCCAGCTGATTGCTCCAGTACTGAGTAGAATTTGTAGTCCGAAATTAGTTTCAGAGATAGACATTAGTTCCAATTTGCAAGGTTTTTTGAAAAATTTTTGCGGCAGCGTTTATGTGGATCCTTTATCGCCTACTTTTCAGAAGCGGTTTCCGATCCAATAGCGACGTCAGCGAATGATCATCGTGTCTATGCGGTGTTCTCCACTCCGGATTCTGATGTCCGAATGAGCGCTGTGTGCTCGTTCTCAATGAAGCGCATCAGAGAGGAATTTGACTACGGAACTTTCAAACAGCAGGTGGGTACTTGGGTTACCAGAGCTGAAAATGGATGGATTCATTTTGTCATAGGAGTTTATCCTTTCGAACTTTAGCGAACTGTAAGCTCTCTATGGGTGCCGTACAATCGGAACGAAATTCCACGACCACGTCCTGGTGCCTGTGTACCCGACTCCACTCGTTTACCAGAAGCTACAGTGTCGTTCATCACCAGGACACCGTTGATGCATCGTGCGATCGAATCTATCAATGGTCCGATGCTCATCGAAGGTTCAGAGAGGGCTGATCTCACCCAGATTGCTGTTTTGCCACATGTGAGTTGTCTCGAGGGGCAGAATAGTCAAATGTTCCAATTGTTTGGAGCACCTAATCAGCCCACTGCCTCTATAGTCAATTCGAATGTAAGATCTTACTGGTTATTGAATTACCGAGCTGTTTTTCAAATCATATTCAAGAAAAAAATGGTTGCGGAATTTGTCCAGACCGAAAACGAACCAGTCACCTTTAGGGTTTTTTTTTTTGAGATTGTGATAAATCTGGCTTCTGAACTTCAAAACCGTTGGCCGGCAGTATTGATGAGCGGTTGTAATCTTTAGGTGGATTCTGTGAATGGTCAACACTACGATATCATCTATATTGGGACTTCGGACGGTCGTGTTCTAAAGATCATTGAGACCGTAGGCAATACTACAGTAATCGAGTCGATTACCGTATTCTCAAAAACGGTGCCAGTGGTACGTTNTGGATGAATTTCGAGTCTCACGCTTTCAGGTGAATCTGCTGACGACTCCACGGCAGTTGGTAGTGGTCTCTTCTGATGAGGTAGCCACGATTGACGTGCATCACTGTAATGAGCCGGACTCATGTAATCGATGCATAGCCCTACAGGATCCACACTGTGCTTGGGATTTGACCATTGCCAGGTGGGGCTTTATTAGACTCTAGTCTTAATGAAATGTTTTGCGTTTACATCGTGCCTAACCAACACCTCCGACTGTAGTATTTTCTGCACGAATTGCCGTGGTAGAGTAGCCATGTGACTTTAACTTTAACGTGTATGTCACGCCGAAGTTTATTGCATCCCTTTTTATTGCGACTGTAACAAACTATATTCAAAGAAATTTTGAACGCACTCTACAGCTTGTAGAGAAACTGTTATGTGTCCCTAGTTCTCACCGACATATTTCCAGATGTGTGAATCGGAACTCATGGAGTGGCGGCCATTTCATACAGAACATCGTTTTCGGTCAGTCAGAACAGTGCCCGGAAGGAATTGTGATTTCGGAAGAGCTGAGTGACGGTAGGTCCTAGTTTATACAGTAATCGTTCCATAATGGTGTACCGCAGAAGCTTTATGAGCGGAGATTACGAGGAGGATTCTGCTGGTTGTGAAGTATTTCTCTCCAATATTCCTCACTAGACTGGGAGGTCGGGGAATTGGCTACAAATTCAGGCGCGATTGGAGACTGACGGATCTATAAATTAACTGCTGTCCCAATTCCAGTATTTCGATGGTTTCCTGGTTGTAGTTAGCAGCAGTTAACCTTCATCCACCTAAGTACCTCTTGACTAACTCGCGCATTACGTAACCCGTAACTAATGGCCCCGTCACCCGACCCCGTTGCGCTAATTGACGGACGTCAACCACTTATTTTCAATGTCACGAGCATGGTCCGTTGTGAATCCATCGGAAAGATGTGTACTCATAGGTAATTATTGGCACGTATGCGTGCTATGACAAGTACGTCAGTCATTTCGTGGCAAGACCCTCCGTCACGGTAGTGATTATGCGTGACTTCCGGCCAGATTGCGCCATCATTAACTGAACGACCTTAGTGTAGCTCCGATATGAAGGTTATGTATGCATAATGGTTAAAAAGGGTTTAATTGACGAGGGATATGATAATATGAACCGGGGTTAGGGTAGGAGGAAGGGAGCGGGAGGAAGTGTGGAAAAAAGGGGTCATAAAATTTTAATGGTAAAATTAATTTGATGGGACACCTGCCTGAATCTTGCCCAGGTGTTTTGGGAATAAGGTGTCTAGAATAGTCATTAAACAGCCTTTCTAAATAGGGCGTTCAAGGGCATACCCTGAACCTAAGCGATTTACTTGTGCGACACAGCGGCATTCTGCTACCATTCAGGACCGAAGAGCATTCGACTGGTCATGGAATCCTTGTGAACTCTCCGCTCTTCGAATTTGAGATTATGCCTGGGGCTAACATCATCTACATCTGAAGCATTCCTTAAAACATACGAAGTTCGTTCTCTCCTGCATGCTTTTCAGTTCTTGGGGTGCGCCACGCATCTGAAACACATTCGGGAGAGGGGAGGAATCAGAATGTGCGTCTGGACTGCACAGTGTATCTCTAAACAAATTTGGTCTCAGGAACTTGACGCTGCGATACTTAATTCTCCGAACTGAGAACTGATTTCACAGAAAAAGGCAAACAAAGTTGAAGCATAAAGTTTTTGTCATTTAAAAAATACGTCAAAACCAATTACATACTGTAACCAATGCGTTACATCCGCTTCTGATTTGGGAAAGCGTTGAAACATATCTAGCTGAAGATTTGGTTTCAGAACCAAACTCTGAACGAGTTGTGGAGAGTCGAAGAGGTATGCACTCGCCAGAGAGCCTGTTTCTCGCCTGTGGTTTGTCGGCTCTCATAGCTTTGGTGATAGGATCATTTGTGAGTTTTATATCCTAAGCTACCGTATTTTCTCGGGCAGCTTATACGTTCACCTGAGAGTTACAATTTTTTTTNTTTTTTTTATTTTTGAATATAGAATTTCCATTTTTAAGGTAACATATCGAGTCACAAGAGCTCGTGTATTGGCCGAAGCTCACCATTCAGCCAGTTCAACCAGCGGCTCAGATTACGACAGTTTTGGTAGAGCTCGACTGACCAGACATGACTCGTTGACGACAGCAGCGAAGATTGAACATGTCTACGGAGCACCACCAAAGGCAGTATGTTCTCAAATTAGCACGACTACACTGACCACTTAGCCTTTCTGGCTTAGGTTTTGGGCTATTGGGTTGCGATAGTTGAGCCATTCCCCTTGGTAGCACGTGGGTAAGGTTAATGCAGAATCTTAGGTCCGGGTAGCAGTGCCGACGGGGCGACTTTGCTCGTTTATGGTCAGCTATGACTTTTGGTTGGTTCGGTAGGCATCAGGTTTCAAGAATGTCATGGAAACAGGGCAGAGGCCTACGGGGCTTTGTTCCAGCTAGAGAATAAGTGGGTTCCAGGTGGAAACGTCGCGGGCAATAGATGGAAGGTAGGGAAGTTTAGTCCAGGAGACACTGAGGTTAGTGGGCTGACCAGTAAAAGATAACATGAATTGGTGTTGGGAGATCCAGTGGTGGTGTACTACGGCCAAAGTAGTACAGAACTTTGATAATGTCAGTTTCGAGCAACTGGGAGAAATACTATTGCTACTAGGAATAGGCGAGTCATGAGCCCAGCGAGAGTAGTGTAGTTCTAGACATGAGCAGAGCTTGGTTTACACTAAGGCGACCTGAATGACTATTGCGGGCTAGCGACATGGAGCGAGTCCTAGGTATAAACGCACTAGTGGCACAAGTGTAGCGAGTAAACGACAAAGTGTGGAACAATCCGGAAGTGACCAATTTTATTCTGGTTCTTTATCAATAATGGTTGTCATTTTCAGAGCGTTGACGCCTCATCTCTTGTCCTGACGATGCCGCCGGCGATGACAATGAGTCAACATGGTTCCGGTATAAATACACCGTCGAGGGATAAAAATGCGATTATGACGTCTATAAATCAAAATACGCTGCCACGCGACTATAAAGTGAAAAAAGTCTATTTGTAGTTGTAACCTTAGGCTTTCCATATGGTTACTATCTAACGTTGACACTTGACGCGACAATTTGCTGCAAATTTTCTAGTTTCGAACGAGAAGTATAGCCGGACACCTGATGTGTCGCTAAGCGAATTGTCGCGTCGTGTCGCGCGTTTCAATGGTGCCAGTCGTCGTCGACAGACGTACGTCATACGTGTATTTGTGATGTTTCACTTGGCTTACGAGTGTTCGCGAGCGACAAATCGCCTTCGTCAGCGATTTTCGCGCGCGATGCTCGTCGCCGCGATTCCTTCCTTCGACACCGGTGTTCGTCCCTCGTATTCCTCTCCTCCCTTTGTCCCTTTTACTTCCTTTTCACCTCCTACCCCCAAGTCTATCGTTTTATTCCCGAACTGTTCTAGTTTAAGCTGATTTAAGCTGGTTTTAATGAATTATATAGAGTAAACAGCTTCCTTTCCAGAGTAACCTCGTATGTGGAAGTTACATATTTATCGAGTTGATCTCAGATATAGCAAATATCACCGTAGCGGTGCATTGTTGCTCTTTCTCTCATAGCTTACTGTAATTGTGTGTGTTTTGAGTTGTTCTATACTGTCTCTCACTGCTGTGTCTCTCTCACAACTGGCTCGATCGCAGGTGTATTATTATTATCTATTACTCTACAGATTTACTATATGTTGTACAAAGTTTTTCATGGCGATTATTGTCGAATGAATAGTCAAAGACAATGTGTTGATTTATTTTTCAGTTTTAGTTTGGTCACGTCCTCCTACTCCTATTTTTTCCGAACGAACAAAATATGTGGGGGTGAGGGCGATAGTCCCGAAAGGTACGCCGCGCGGCGATACAACTAGCTAGGAGCTGCCGCACGCGGTAAGCGTCGGGTCTATCACTCCACACCTCGAGTAGCTGATGGGACTCGGACATGTGGATTGTATTGTAGATAGAGAAAAGTTGTAGAGATCTATACAAATCTGAGTTCATAGCGTACTGTTGTAGGTATACCGTTTGCAGAGCTCTCTGAAAGGTTGTTTTACAGCTCAGGGTGCGAGCACTGCTTTACAGCAACGGCCCTTATCCAAATGACAGGCCTAGGATCAAGTATATTCAATTCGCTGACGAATAGGCCAGGTAAGGATCTCACATTGTACGGGGACATAACGATTTAGTAAATGGTTTGCCGCGTTACGAGACAGTAACGAACAAAGCTCACAGGCAACTAGAGATGAGGGGACGGCGAGAGAACTAGCTATGAGTGATGTGAACAGAAAGTAAGTGCTCTAGGATCCCGCTTACACTACAACAATAATAGCCAGATCAAACCAGGAGGTAAACTCTAGTAAGGGTAGTTGTCCTACTTACGTTCACTGTATTGAAGCTGGAGACTGGAGCCAAGTTAGGGTGAACTGACTGCTCACGATTGCGCATATGAGGATCGGGATGTTGTCTCGCATGCTGCTGAACGTTTCTTAAAATTTTGGTCTATCAGTTGGAACGTTCCATCGAAGGACTTGCGAGATCAATCATATCCGCCTGAGTGGCACACTCCTTATTTTACAGAAAAGCTATTTAAAAAAGTTTCCAAATAAGGGTTTTTATGGTAAAAATCTGACGGTTAACGAAGATTTTAGCTCAGAGGCCAAGTTAGGCAAATAGGAGTAATTCAAGTTACTCAGTTAAGTAGACAAATTCAATTAGTGATAATTTAGCCAGTAATCCAATCAGTTGATTAGCTTTGATTACTTTCTTTTATTGCTGATACATCATCAGCGTCGACATACATATTTCTGCTACTTTGTCAATACAATAAATCGATTTGTTTTCATAGGATCCGTTTGATCCCAGCGAAGTAGTTCGATGCCACTGAAATCCTTCTTATTTAGAAGGGGCTCCAGTGATCAGAGTTAATCGGTCAAGTAATGTATGTCATGGTAAGTTCAAATTATTATGTCTGCGTGAGGTAGACTGTAGAAAGAAATTTTTTTTCCATTGAGTGTCTAAACCAATGTGGAACGAGTTCAGTCACCGGAGGAATCATTTGGGTCTCGCTAATCAAGCAAGGAAAAGATCGAATATCGCCTAATTGCTATTCTTCTCGAGCTCTGTGCCTCCTCATATTGCACTAACAGCTTGACAATTCTCAGAATAACTTTGGGATAGAGTAACTAGCATGATTTGGCTAGTATGTCTTGTAGACAGATTAAAGGGAAGTGAATTTGAAGGAGAATGTAAAGGTGCCCTACAGCATTTGGGCCCATTTCTATTTCCTTGTTTCTTCATTTCCTGCGCAGTTGCTGGATCTTGTAATCGATCAGTGGAATGCTGTCAGATTAATGCTATGCAAGGTTCAAATCCGTTAAGATCACCTAGAAAGTACTTTTACCTTTCAAAGCCGATTTATACTAGTCTGTTTGGAAAACTGAATAAATACCTCGTACTACATTGAGGCTTGCTTGTGAAAATTAAAAGCCCCATATTTTTTCCTTCTCAAAGACCCATCAAGGGCTTGGCAAGACGCTCCGAAAGTCGTTTTGAGTGAGCGATGTTCAAGGACAAACTTTTTTCCTATCTATTTTTGTTGCCAAACTGAGGTCTCTGTTAGTCATGCGTTATCACTGTCAACACATATCAAATCAACATTAACTGTTCCAAACCATGGGGGTCCTTAGATGAGTATGAAACCTCTTGTGAGTCATGATCATGTCAAAAGCGTTGATTGATGCGATTTTCTTTGTACTCAATTGTAGGAAGTGAACTGATGACTCAGAAAACTGGTTTCCTTCACAATAGAAATGAAAGGTCATCCTGAAAAAAAACGTACCGCAAACGCTGTAGGTAACCATAGGTCATTACTCTTGAAAGGGTAAAGAGCAAGGTTCTTTAATGTGGGTTAATTTTCTTTTGTGAAGCACTTGTATAAGACTTTCGCTCTAACCTGGGTGGCACTCGAAGACGTACAAATGCAGGGTCAGTCATTTTATCCTCACATACGGTCTGGTACCAATATTAAGCATTAGAGAATTAGTTGATCTTAGTAGATCATGATGCGCGCTTTGGTTTTCTGACGGTTGGATAAAAACGCCCTATGAAGCTACTTTTCCTCCGAGTTACTTAATATTTGACCTTAACTTGTCACTGAATCAACGAAGGAAAGGTCATTCGTTCTGGGTGATGCAGAGCCAGCGAGTTAAGAAGAAAGGTTTTTATTATTCACAAATATTTGTTGGATGATCAATGAATTCCTCGCGAAAAGTAAGTAGAACAAGAGTTTTCAAAACTTGAAGCTTAAACTCAATCTCAATGAAGCTCGCAGTCGATCAATCCCTTTGCCAAATACGCCATGTATACGATTTGGATTGTCCTTATAGTAATAGCTGTGTGCCTATTGGCTGTTTACCACAATTTATGAAGTGGACCGATGTGCCGATATAGCGGAGATGTGATCCTATCAAACGGATATAGTATTGACCAAACTCGAAAGGGTGGAAGGCTGACGTGGGAGGGGTTCGATCCATGGTTTACATGTGTGGTAGCAGTGCTCTACCACAACACCATGAAATTGAATGTCTATTCAATAGAAAAATCCTTCTGAAAGATCCGGATTACGATTGTTCATTTGCCTTCAATTTCTAGCTTTCCAGCTTATTTGCAATCCCATTTCAGCAAAAAGGAAATGGTCCAGCCAGAGACTAAGCGGAATTGAAATGCTCTCCGTGGAACTTTGGCCCACTCGCTGAAGACACCATCGCTCTCATCGTCGCATGGCAGGTATTTGCGTTCCACGTGCATACACACCATATTGTTCAAAAACGAGAACGAAGAGCTCTAAACAAACTTCCCCACCATTTTTAGGGCAAGGACGGACAGGGAGGAATTCGTCATCGCCGCTGTTTACCTCATCATCATCGCCGGCCTTCGTCTGTCCTAACAGGAAACGAGTTCGATCACATTTCATCGAATCACAGCACCTCTATTGTGGGTGATTTAATCGTTTTGCTTTTTCTAAACATCGGTTTTGCTCGGTGGAACCTAACCGTTCGATTGATTTCTTTCTTGTTCGAGTTTTTTTGGTCCCTTCACGAATTAATCTTGATTCCAAAGCTTCAGCGGAAAAAACCCTGAGATAGATGGTAACGAAAGGTGACTATTCATCTAGTTAAAAGAAAACTCAACTTCTTTTCTCGAGTTTACGAAATGACTGATGCTTGAAGGCCTTGATTTATGCTTTGATGAGATGCAGCACCTATTCGATTGGCATACGAAATTTTCATGGCCTGTAAATGTAAATTTGGCCTGAAATATCTGCCGATAACGTAAAGGCTAGTATTTCTACCCTTGGTAAACTGCTGAACCCTTCGTT